AACATTCCGTTGAAAATTAAATAAATAAATAAATAAAATAAATAACAAAGCCTAAAGCCCAGAGATGTATTTTTATATTTCTTTGAACCTAAAGTCGTAGTAAATTATCAGGGTTTAGTGCAAGGAGTTGCATTGTAAAGAATTCTGGAAGTTGGGGGCAGTTTGGTAACTTTTGGACTTGAAATGTAAAGAAATTAGTGAAACAAGGGTTGTTTGGTAAGTAGTGGATTTAAATTTAAAAGAAAAGAGGGGTACGGGCCGAAAGTGTAAAATTGGTTAGAAGTTTGATTTTTTGGGGACGGGGACTTAAACCCGTCACCCCACCCTTCCCCTCGTCTCATATTTGCCCTAACCCTAACACTCGAAAACGTTTTCGGCCTCCACCCTTGTTCCTCCACCTCTCCAGCCGCCACCTCCCTTACACCGGCGTGAACCACCGAAGCCAACCATCGCTGCAAATTCCGCGACTGACGAAGATGATCACCACAAGCTGATGGCGTGTCAGTTGGGGAGATCGAAAAACGAAGTCCGGGCTATCTCCGCTACTGTTCTCAGTTAGAGGTCACACACCTTTTATTCTCCGCCTCTTTTTTATGTCGCGTGTTGCTGTCATTGCACCGACTCCCGCATACCATCATGAGGGTGGTTGAGTTCATATGTGCATATTTCATAGTCGGGGCTCGTATGTCGTGTGTGTGTGTGTCGTTGCTACAATCGTGAGGTGGACGGGGTGCGTATTTGGCTGGCCGGAAAATGAGAAGAACCACCATGGCAGCCAACCATGGTGGCTGCCGCCGTGTTGCTTTTTTCTGTCGTCACCAGCCAGCATGTGAGGTAGTGTTGTGTGTGTGTAATATTGTGTGAATGTGCGTGTTTTAATGTGTGATGTCGTATGAACATTTTTGGTTGGAAAATCAAAGAAAACCCACCACCACCATGAGGTGGTGGCTGCCACCTCCTGTCGCCGTCTGCCACCCTTTTTGGTGGTTGTGTTGGACATTTCTTTGTGTATTCTTTTGATTCTAGTGTGTGTATGTATGTAGAAACTGTTATGTGTGCATGGTTGTTGAATTTACCACTCGAAACTGTTGTCGTGTGTGGGTGGCTGCCCTTCGGACCCCTGCCGACCTCCACTGCCCGAGGTGGCAGTGGGTGGTGCTTGATTTATTAAATATTTAATTATTCAAACATCTAACCTTAATCCGAGTGGCACGATTTTGGGGTTCGAACCCCTATTTAGGGTTTAGAAAACCCTAATGCCAAGAAAAAACCTAGTTTTTGGGAGTTTTGTCGGGACCCGCGTTAAAGCTGTTAACTAAACTTTAAATAATACTTATTAATTCTCTACAATTAACTTAATGCAACATTGGACTTAATGAATTAAGTCCTTATGGGGTTATGTGTGGAACGTTAACCCTAGTTATCATTTTAAGTGAAAAACCCTATAATCGGGGAGCTCTATTTGGACAATGATCGGGCATGTATTTGGGCTGTTGATTGGATTATTACTTCACCAGAGAATGACTAAGTCAAACCTTAATCTGTCATACCTGTAAGTGATTAAGTCCTTAATAGGTTAAGTGTTCTTATTTAACCCTAATCGTTATTTTATGTGAAACCCTAATTGTCATTTCATGTGAGGTGGTCACTGTTGCAGGTGACTGTGACCTGTGATTAGGTATTGACTCAAGTATCTTCATGTAGGTGATTGGAAGTGAGTTGAAGTTGGTAGATTTCTTTGTTGCTACAGTGGTTATCTATGCGCATATCAATGTGAGTTTTGCCTCACTGTACTCATGGGGCGAAGACACTAATGCCGAACCACTAGTTTTGTTTATCTACTAGTAGAGGGATGCCCTAGGGACTGTATATAATCATGTAGGATAAACTGAGGAATCTTGATCTAAGCTCTCTTACCTATTCCTTGTTTGGTTGTGGTTCTAGAGTAGGATCACCTTTCCGGGTGACTATCTCACCTCTGTGTATATTCGACCATGCATTCCTTGGATTGTTGGTATTTATTATGCTGCTATGTTGTAGTGATCTGTTAGACTTGTGTTATGGTGTTAAGTACGTTGCTATGCTGTAGGGATCTATTAGATTTGTGTTCTGGTATTGAGTATGCTGCTATGCTGTAGTGATATGTTAGATATGTGTTCTAGTATTGAGTATGCTGCTATGCTATAGTGATCTGTTAGATTTGTGTTCTGGTATTGAGTATGTTGTTATGCTGTAGTGAACTATTTGATCCGTGTTCTGGTATTGAGTATGCTGCTATGCTGTAGTGATCTGTTAGATCTTTCTCCTAGTATTGAGTATGTTGCTTTATGGTAACAACTTGTAGAACTGTATGTTATCTGTGGTAGCTAGTTATCATCTATGGTGTGCACTTAGGGGCTGTATGTGGTCATGTAGGATAGCCTGAGAACTCTTGTTCTAGGCTCTCTTGCTTGTTCCTTGTTTGGTTGTGGCTTTAGAGTAGGACCATCTGTTCGGGTGGCTATCTCACCTCTGGTTACTTATGGTTAAGCATTCTTTGGGGGTTAGCTGATAGCAGGACTATATGCTATGAGAGGATTTATAGAGTGTATGTGTATTTTGCAGGTATTGTTAGCGTTGTTGTGATGATATTCGGAGACAAATATGGGTATGTGTGGAAGGTAGTATGGGCTCGTACTACTGGAAGCACATGACCCGTACACGTGGCAGGGAAGCCACAACCCCTAGGGTGTTAGGAGTTTAGGTTGAGGGTTTGCTTGTCTGTTATCGTCTGATTGGGGGTAAGCCCGAGTGTTGATAGTGGATAGCTTGGTCTAGTTCAATATGAGATCAATTAGTTTTCATTGTGGTGATGCCCTTTTGGTGTGTGATTAGGGTGCCGACGTTTGGCTGAGAAGCTCGGAGGCCAATTGATTCCGCAGATATTCGTTCGCCTTGGTTGTTGTCGGGGAGTGCATCTTGAAGTAGAAGCGAGAGTTGATTTCGAGGACGAAATCTAATTTAAATGGGGGAGAAATGTAACATTCCGTTTCAAAAATAAATAAATAAATAAATAATAAACCCTCAAGCCCCGAGATGTATTTTTATATTTTCTTTTAACCTAAAGTAGTAGTAAATTATCAGGGTGTTAACGCAAGGAGTTGAATTGTAAAGAATTCTGGAAGCTGGGGGCAGTTTGTTAACTTTTGGACTTGAAATGTAAGGAAATTCGTGAAGCAAGGGTTGTTTGGTAAGTAGTGGATTTAAAATTAAAAGAAAAGAGGGGGAAGGGCCGAAAGTGTAAAATTGGTTAGAAGTTTGATTTTTTGGGGATGGGGACATAAACCCGTCACCCCACCCTTCCCCTCGTCTCATATTTTCCCTAACCTTAACCCTAGAAAACATTTTCAGCCGCCACCCTTGTTCCTCCACCTCTTCAGCCGCCACCTCCCTGACGCCGACGTGAACCATCGAAGCCAACCACCATTGCAGCTTCCGCGGCTGACGAAGATGATCACCGCAAGCTGACGTCGTGTTAGTCAAGGATATCGAAATACGAAGTCCAGGCTATCGCCGCTGCTATTTTCAGTTAGAGGTCACACACCTTTTCTTCCCTGCCTCTTTTCTCTGTCGCGTGTTGTTGTCATTGCTCCGACTGCCGCATGCCACCATGAGGGTGGTTGAGTTCGTATGTGCGTATTTCATAGTCGGGGCTCATATGTACTGTGTGTGTATGTGTTTTGCTGCTACAGTCGTGTGTGGGTGCGTATTTTGCTGGCCGGAGAATGAGAAGAACCACCATGGCAACCAACCACGATGACTGATGCCGTGTTCCTTTTTTCTGCCGCCACCAGCCACCATGTGAGGTGGTTGTGTGTGTAATATTGTGTGAAAGTGCCTTTTTTAATGTGTGATGTCGTATGAACATTTTTGGTCGGAAAATCAAAGAAAATCCACCACCACTGTGAGGTGGTGGCTGCCACCTCTTGGCGCCGTCTGCCACCCTTTTTGGTGGTTGCATTGGTCATTTCTTTTTGTATTCTTTTGATGCTAGTGTTTGTATGTATGTAGAAATTGTTATGTGTGCTTTGTTTTTGAATTTACCACTCGAAATCGCCGCCGTGTGTGGATAGCTGCCGCCTCGGACCGTAGCCGACCACCACTGCCCGAGGTGGCATTGGGTGGTGCCCGATTTATTAAATATTTAATTATCCAAACATCTAACCTTAGTTCGAGTGGCACGAGTTTGGGGTTGGAAACCCTAATTAGGGTTTAGAAAACCCTAATGTCAAGAAAACCCTACTTTTTGGGAGTTTTGTCGGGACCCGCGTTAAAGCTGTTAACTAAACTTTAAAAAATACTTAATATTTCTCTAAAATTAACTTAATGCAACATTTGACTTAATGAATTAAGTCCTTAACACTACTAGAAAAACAGCCTTTTACGACGCGCAATGCGTGTCATAAAACGCTCAGACGACGTGCAAATGCGTGTCAAGGAAGGCCCCGTCATAACGAGAGACGACACGCTTTTGCGCGTCGTCTACTTACGACGCACATTTATGACACGCATTTACGACGCGCAGTTGTGACACGCAATGCGTATCAAGGAAGGCCCTGTCATAAAGGAAGAAGACACACACTTGCGTGTCGTAACCGTACGACGCGCGTGTTTATGACACGCAATGCGTATGAAGGACGCCCCTGTCATAAAGGAAGATGACACACATTTTTGCGTGTCATAATTTTAAATGTTTTTAAAATTATATATTTTTGATAGATTTACTAATTTTCAAATTAAATAATACATTAAAAGTCTCATAATACAAAATAAAATACCATAAACAATAAAGATAATTCATTGCACTAATATGTCAAATACAAATAATCATTCCAATAGTAAGTAATGTAACACATTGCTAATATTGCATAATATATCTTATAGAAAACAAAACATGTACAACATTAAAAGAAATCCATGACTAAATTCTCCTTTGACAATCTCCTTTGACAATTTCATTTCTAAAAGAATAACCTGAATGCAAGAACTTTGAGAGGCTGCAGGGCATGGAAGGAGGTTGCTAGAGCTGTCAGAACCTGCACATGGCAAATCGGTAACTTAACATGCAATACAATACAAGATGATATGATAGAGCTGGTATGGCATCCAACTATATATATTTTTTTGTCTATATTCTTTGCCAATGCCAATTAGGCCACTAAGCTTAGGAAAATGATTCAAAAGTCATTTCCATTATGTCTCCAAGTTTGTGTATTCATTTGATATAAATTATAAATTCAAAATCTCTCATAAATGATAAGATTTACGTATTATATAAAAATCAGGTCAAAACAGTAAGTGGGGTAGATAACATACCTGACTTGAGTTTTCAGGAACAATACGCACTCCAATCTGTCTTGCCACCTGTCACATCACCAAAATTGAATCAAAATCATCAATCGCCTGTTTCTTTTTGACTTAAATCCTAAATTTTTATAAATATTTCACCTCAGAAGGTTAGTTGTTTCTTTTTGCAGAAACAAGAGATGGATATTGGAGAGCAAGTTGTAAGTTGTTACATGGACTCATCTTCACCTGTGTCTTCACTTCCACCCAATATGACACTTATACTTACACTGCCACACACACATTAAAGTATTTCATGAATAATAATAATAATAATAATAATAATAATAATAATAATAATAATAATAATAATAATAATCCATGAAATGAAAGGTGAGTAGCAGGGTTATGTAAGTACCTTAGTATTTGATCTAATTTATCAAGTACTTGAGGCAACCTTAATGTTAGAATTATAGAAAGTGCAAATCCAAATGTCTTTTTCTGAATATAATTTACATTGTCAACCTGTAATAATGTAAAACAACAGATTCAGTGGAAGATATTTTGCCCTCGGTTGTAATAACAACAGTAAGGGCAAAATGGTCATTTTTTGCAGGCGTGTTACGTCTGTTCATCAATGGAAATAAATAGTACTAAGAACTAACCTGGTTAAGCCATACATCAACAAGGCATAATCCAAACACATTTTATATAAATTTTATTTAATATAAATTTTATAAAGTATAATACAAAAAACAAAAACAAATACCTGTAGAGTACTATTGATCAGTTGTGGCCTATCAGAAGGAGAACACTGTCAATACCAACAACTCTAACCATCAATGCAATGTTCATTTTTTTAATATTTGCTATTAAATATAAACACAATGAATTAAAATATACCTGAATTAAAACATCAATGACAGGTAGTATAGAAATCATTTAGAAGAAAGATCGAAAATCTTTAGATATTTTATGCACTTAAATTAACTGTGACTCAAACCTCTGTGATAGGGGTATCCAAAACAAAAGATACTCGGTCCAAAACACATAATATAATATTGTTTTGTGAAATTTGAGAGAAGAAAAGTCTAACCTTGTATGTACCCTGGTATTCTCCTACCTGCATAGTGCAGTCCCCATCCCCAAAGAAGATGAGCACTACAATAAATTAATTAATTAATTAATCAATCAATTTATTAATTTAGGGCTTTACCTCTTCCCCCATTACAAAGACATTAGGATCAGCAGCCATTTCCTCATCAAGGGCAGAGTTCAAAGCGTCTCACACTATCATCTGTAAAAATTTCAAAACCAAATCTTACACTCTCATACTGTCATGTGTAAAAATTTCAAAACCAAATCTAATACACCGCACCACTTTTTTTCATATAGTAATTGTTGAAAATAATGTGTATGCACCCAGGCATACACTAAGACCTCTAGAAAGAAAGGATCCAAAATAGGATAATATATTATTATTTATCAACAAAAATAAACAACAAATAAAATAAAACTATTATTTCTTATTTACTAATCAAAGTAAATTAAATAAGCCTTTATCATTAACATTTCCAACAACAAGATCGAAAAGCTTAGCAACACTTGAAGCATGCAAACTCAGAAACTTTGTTCCACCTAAAATTATGTAGTCTTCGATGATAGATGCAGCAACCTAAAATAAATAAATAATTAATTATTGACAAGCTTTCCAGGGGCATTTACGTCTTTTACCACATAAATTTTGATTTAAAGTACCTTTAAGTCTTTTGAAGGCTTTGATGTTCTTTATGATGATTTATTACAATATGAAGCAAGATTTGGGAACTTCATACAAGCATGTTGGATGATTGTTCTGAGGATATTGGAGTGTGAAAAGCCAACCTACACTACTAGATAATGAGCGTTTGTAATAACTGTTAGGTAAACTAATAGGTAAACTAATGAGATTAATTATTGCTCCTTAACATTGAATATGGATGGACTACCAGATAATGAGCGTTTGTATTAACTGTTAGGATAATTCAAAAAATAAGATACAGGGGTATTTTCAGAATTTTTTTTAAACCAAAATGAAGACCTCAATGAGGATTCACACAACAGCCATTGATAGCAGCAAATCAGGAAGCACAATGGTCCAATCCCATTCAAGTTTCTTTGGACCTATCAGCAAGATAAGAATACAAAATTCTTGTCATGATGGAAAGATTAAAAGCTAGTAAGATTTAAAATGAAAATGATTATAAAAATCAAAGAAAAATTAAACCAACAGCCAATTAGAAGATGCATGGACCATTGTATTTGGAACCCAACGGATTATATCATCCTGTTTATCAAAAAACAAGAATTGATATTGATACCAATAAAAATAATATATAAATATATAAATCAACCTGCATACAAACGGTTGTGACAAAATCAGAGCAGCTATCAGCAAGATCTCTAGAAACACAAGGTGGTGTTCCATATCTAACAGCTGTAACAATATCAGGGCTAAAACCTAATTCATCGCATGTCTTTTTTCGAATCATTATGGCTAGAATTGAAGCAATTGCACCTACAAGTAAATGGCCCACTAGCCTTAACCTAAATCCCTATAACAAAGTATTAGTTATTATATAAAAAATAAAAAGAAAAAGAAAAAAGAAAATTAAGAAATTGAGCACCTGATGTTTGTGAAGGCAGTCATTAATGGTTCCCATTTCATGAGTGAGAAACCAACGAGCAGCTTCAGCAGTTCCAAAATGAGTGGAATACCCTTCAAAATTAAATTCAACAAAGATTTGTCCTTTATCATGATTAAGACAATTAAGACAAAAATTAAGCTGATTCAAAAGAGAAAACAAGTCCAATATATGGATTTTTTTATCAATAAGAACAAACACTAATTTAATTAACTGATTCAAATTGTTTTCTTTTCTGTTAACCAATTGGAAAAAAAAGATCAACGAATGGACCATACCAATTTCCCTGAAATGACACAAAGTGATTTAGTGTCTACTGCCCTGCTTTCCCTGCAAAGTTAATCTCATCAAGTAGGTTTGGTTTGGCTATATCTCTTTTTTCATGAATCTGTATAGTATAACTGTTCTGAAGTGTTGTTTCTTGTTTACATAATAGCTAAATAGCGACAAGATTTAATCTGCTATATATGGGTGTTCCATGTCTTTATGCTGACCATATATGGATGTAATCATGTAAATCACAGCTTTGAAAAAAAAAGAATTGAAGATGAAGTCCAGAAGACCAGAAGTTTGAAAAATAGAAGCTTAAGAAAGTAAATAAACTATCATACCTTAAACCACAATCTACAATACGCCCTAACTCAATACCAGATTCTCCAGGACGACCTGACTCGAATGAAGGATCCGCCATGGGTGAGAACTCAGTGTAGATTGCAAGTGTCCCTTCATTAGGCCTGTCTCGATAAGGTTGTACTAGTTGTCCTGTGACAAATCCCATAACACGAGTCAGTCCAAGTTGGATCTCTGATGAACCATCTTCTCTACAATATGAAAAACTCATCGTTCATCAACAAACTGTTTATTTTTAGCCAACGGAATACGAAATCAAGTGATGAGTTTGGGATTTATTACCTTCCGAAGATGATAGATAGTTTTCTATAATCGAAAGGACGCCTACCATCAACTCTAAGGTCAGATAGTAATGCAGACTAGATGAATTTCTTCTTATTCACCGTCATGTTTAACGTATTAGCCAATCTCTGTTCCATTAGCTCTCCTGCATTTCATACTTTGCTCAAATTTCACTATATAGCGAAACGGTTGAATTATATTTCCGACACTATTACAGTAGGGTTTATAAGGGAGACGACTGATGAAGAAGTTGAAACCAATGAGAGACTGAATGCATACATACCTACTTGCCTGTAGACGGATTAGTTGTTGTCGGTTGTTGTAGACGCGGGTGGTGGCGGTTTTTATTCTTTTCGCTTTGAGTTGAGGAGAGGGTTTTGGGAGGGTTTGGACCCAAATCGATGTATATCTAGGCCTCCATGGTTGACTTACTGAATATGGTGAAGCGGATCGGAGAAGAGGGAGAAGGAGGGAGAGGGGAGAATCGATTGCGAAGATGAAAAATAGAAAGAAGGTAGAAAAGCGGGTTTTCAAAATTTTGGGGATTTCCTTTTCCCCTGATGAGAATAAAGAATTATAGATCGATAGATTCTAAACAGAAAAACAAGAATGAAGTAATCAAAGAGCACAAGAATGGATCAAATGGTGTCGAATGATTAATTACTCACACCTCAGAAGAGCTCGACGAAGAACTTCGACTGTAGAGGTGTGTTTAGGGTTATAATGCAAAGGCTATTAATGAGAACGATAACATGAAAGCTATACATGCACGCAATATATATAATCTAACCCTAATGATAATCCAAGGTTGGACAGGCCCAAACCGGGTAAACAGAATGGACTTTTAACCGAGCCCAAAGACGCAACACATAAACCCAACAATCTCCCCCTTTACGTCAATGGAGGCGAGAGACTACTTCGGTTGAGTGAATTTAGTATTCTTTACAATCTTGAACAGCCTCGGGATGATGGCAAGAAGAGTTTGTCGAAACAATATATACCACCGAATCATATCAGTAAACATCTTTTTATCGGCTTCTCTGTTCTGATTACACCCATATATAATCTCCAAAATATGCTCCAAGCAGGCGGTGGAGAACATGTGTTTGTCAATAAGAGCGAACAGGCATTTTTTACCTTCACCCCTAATGAACATAACCGTATGATTCTTGGGGTCAATTTTTCCCTTAACCATCATGTTGACATCGCTTGCCCTCCCTATCAGCTTCATAATGGTCTTCTTATGTATGGCAGAAGCGATTTCCTGATCCATCTTCGCGACTTCATGAATATAACACACAAGCATTCGCTTGATGTGATCAATAATAGGCTGATACTCCTTTTGATTGGTCAGTAAAATGTTGTTCAGGAGTATCCAGTCATGTGGATTCAGGTTCGGTAGATCAACCAGGGAAATCATATGAACCGAGCTATCAGAGCCTCGAGTCACTTTGAATTTGATGTTGATAAATATCCCTGCCGAAGTGGGTTTCAACACCTTGACCGTTGTGATTTTCTGATTACTCCAGGTCAGGTATTGCGGCTGAGCAAACTCAAGATAATACTGAAGCAGATCCCGATCAACCTTCGGGTCTGGGGAAGGAATGCCAGCCGTTGACTCAAAAAAGTGAAAAATGAATGCCTTTCGGGTGATTGGCATGTGAAACTGTGAGTCCTTGGAGTTCTCGAGCCTAAAAGAAAGAACTGGCTCCAGCCAATGAGTGCTCGGTGTATCGATGACCTCTCTCTGAAGCAAATCCATAGTCCATTCAGGAAACATAGACTTCTTTCTTTCTAGCATTTCGTTCGCTTTCCTCTCCTTATCAAGACATTCCTTCTCTTTTCGAATCTTCGCCTCAATCTCTTGAACACTAGGCTTGACTTTCAGACTTTCAGTTTTAGAGGCGTTTCCTTCTGTATCAGTGTCATCATCATTTTCATCCACATCATCGTCACCAATTTTCTTCTTTCTCTTGTCCTTTACACTGCCCGAAACTTCATTAACCTTCGGCTCAGTAGTGACGTTCAGTTTTGGAGGTGGATGAGGTTGAACATTATCTCCCCCTTGTTTTGGAGGGACAACGGACTCCGAAACACCCTCAATTCTGCTCAAAACATCCAGAGCAGGTCTCAACTTCTCAGCTAAGTGGTGTCGAATGGAGATGGTAAGAATGGAGTCATGGGCTTCCAGGAGGTGTAGGAGAATAGAGTGGACATCACCAACTAAACTTTTAATTATTTCACGCTCAGTTTTTAAGTCTTTAATCTCCTTGGTGGCAGTCTTGAGCTTGAGATTCTGAATTTTAAGCTGAGAAATGCGCTTATCCAGCTCATCCATAATTTTGTTTTCCACAGCAAGCTCAGCTTCAAGTTGAGTGAGACGAGCATCAACAAAAGTGTGAAGCTCTTTGTTAGCATTCTGAATTGCTTGTCGAGCTACTTCAAAATGTTTCTTTTCGGCCTCTAGTGCACGCGTAAGATTATCAACCGAAGCGTTCACTGTTTGAGCGTTCTTCTGGGCGGAAGCTTGAAGAGAATCAAGAAAAATTTGTGCATCCGAAACCAGTTGTTCGACATTTGCTGTCACATGCTTGCATTCCTTGGTGGAAACTTCAACTGCAAGTGAAGCTTTCTGAAAAGTTGAGGTTGAGGCTTCAATGGCTTTAACAGCACTGGAGATGGAAGTGTCATGCTCTTTGACAACGGATGCAAACAGAGCCTTGAGTGCTGCTTCGGAATATGCACTGGTAGAAGAGGAAGAGAGCAGTTGGTCAAGTTTGTCATTCATGGCCTTGAGATGCTTTTTGGTCACAAGAGCATCATCATCTTCATCACTCTGTACTCGATAAGGACTGAAGTAAACAGAGTCGAATTCCATGTCTTCCCCGCCAATAATAGGTTCAGATTAATGTGATGGAGGTGGAGATAAAGGTGCTGAGGTAACAGGAGGATCATAACCGAAAGTAGATGCCCTTGTATCAGATACGTTGACATGAACATTAGGTTCGATTGGATGAGGAGTAGTGGTAGTAACTGTAGTGAACAGTGGGGTTGGAATTGGGATGGAGGTAGCAGTGGTAGATGAGATAGGTGGAGGATAAGGAGCAACAGTAATAGGAACCGAATGTGAAGGAGAATGAGGAGGTGAGTTTCGGTTACTGACATTAGTTGGTGAGGGTGGAGGCAAATTACCTCGTGGTGGACTTTCGGTTCGAGTTGTTTCGACGTCAGTTGACTCGGGTCTAAGCTGTTCGTCATAAGGAACATACTCAGAGTCACTGGAAGATGGGGAAGGAGACTTCAGTCTTTGAGCTTTCATGTAACATCCCAAAAACTCAATCCAATTTAAAACTTTTTAAAACATTTAAAAAGCATTAAGTTATTACAGTTTGTTTTCAAAATAGTTTAAACATCAGAGTATCCCCAGAATCAAATCATAAAACCATGAAATATGAGGAGATGTACGATCACGCCTTCGCCTTCCGCGATCATCAGAAGTACCTGAAACAATATTCGATAAATGTAAGCTCGAAGGCTTAGTGAGTTACCCCCAAAATACCAACCCATACTAAGCAAAACAAATATCATATCAATACAATCACATATCAGCATGCATAATGAGCCTTCAGCCTGACTGGACCGCCTCACAGGCCTTCAGTCTATCTGGACCGCTCTCTGAGCCTTTGGCACGTCTGGACCGCCTCGTCGGGCCTTCAGCCTATCCGGACCGCTCGTCGGGCCTTCGGTCTGACTATCATACCCTCCGGGGTCTGTAGTCTATCCGGACCGCCCTGGGTATGTTGGCCTTCAGCACAAAGCAGGACCGCCTCAACCCAAACCCCCAATCAAACAAACATGTGCACATACATATCATACGCTAGCATATAAAACAGTCAACCGATCTAACAGATCAAATAGCATAGCAACATCCTATAACCAGGATACCGACCTAACCGGTCACAAACATAGCATCATCCTATATACCAGGATATCGACGTAACCAGGTCACTAAGCATAACACCATCCTAACTACCAGGATGTAAATCAGTAAGCATAACATGCAATAAACCCGGATACCAATCCAATAAGGGCCGGCATTGGTGCCTTAGACCCTGTCGATATAGTGAGGAGAACTCACCTGTCACTGCTGAAGTCCCGCAGAATAAACTCCAGCTGCTGGTTGACAGATTCCCGAACTGTCAACATCAAACAATACCCAATTAATAATTGGGTTCCAAGCTCAAAGTCCAACTCACACTCCAAAAGCCCAAAAGTCAAGTAATGGGCCAAGGCCCAACATATGGCCCAATTTTCCAAATTGGGCCCAGACCTCTACACGGTCTTTCCTTAACGCCCATCCAATTATTCCAGTCTAATTCCCATGGCCCAATATCACATAATCATAAAGGTCCAATTATGGCCCATCTATGGCCCAATTTTCCAAATTGGGCCTAAGTCCTCACATGGGCCTTATCCTAAAACCCATACAATTATTTAGTCCATTTACTTATTCTTGGATGACCCATTAATAACCCAATTACCAAAACCCAAAAGAAAGGCCCAACACAAAGCCCAAGTGAAACTAGGGTTTCTCATAAAATGATGATTAGGGTTAAGTTTCCTACTTAACCCATTAAGGACTTAATCCACTAAGGACTTAATCTATTAAGTCCAATATTGCTTAGTTAATCTTTGCCAATGATTATTATTTAATATTTCAAGCTATTAAATAATTCCCGTGTGTGTGTGTCCCGATTAATTCTTAAAATTAGGGTTTCATTGCATTAGGGTTTTCCAAACCCTAATTAGGGTTTCCAATCCAAATATTAGCCAATTTATCAATTTGTTGGGCTTTTAGGTCAATTAGGGCTTTATGGGATCCATTAGGGCTTACAAGGCCCATTAGGGTTTCAAGCACCCCAAACGAATCATACTCAATAAGGCAAGCACACCGCCACTCGACACGGCGGCCGGTGGTGGTGACGGATTTTCTTCACTATTCCAATTAATATAAAATTACAACGAAATAACCAAACCGCACACACACACACACTAGGCTAAACACATACACACACAATGGTGGCTCATGGCGGCAGCCACCACCTCACGGTGGTGGCAGTGGCTATTCCCGACTTTTCGGCTAGACAAAACACACACAACACCCAAATAAAAGCAAAATCACACACCCACACAACTCACAGCCACCTCCCACGGTGGCTGATGGTGACGAGCCAAGGCAGCGACGGAAAGAAGTAGAAGGAAATGGCAGCAGGCTGTGGTTGTCGTCGACGAACACAGTAGCGGCTCCAATGGCGCACCAGCGTCTCCGGCAGCAACGACAGAGGGACGAAGCCCGCCGGTAGACTTCATCGTTACTAGAAAAGAAACGTCGACGATGCTGGGTGGCGGTTCGGCAGTGTTTGTCGACGAGGCGGCGGCAGAACCGGGCTGATGATGCAAACAGCGACTGATGGCATAAGGCTAAGAAACGGAAGGCTCGCCGGAGTCGCCTGATCGGAACCACGAAGAAGCAGCGACATCCTAAAAAGGAGAAAGAGAAGGAGGCTGATGGATGCTCAGTGTTCGCCTGGTGGCTGAGCGACTCTATATTGACGACAGGTGAGGTCACGGATGACGGTTCAACATCCTCAGCGACCACAGTGTGGCGGTATCTAGTGGTGGTGTGGTGCCGGAGGTCGAGTAGGTGGGAGGGGCGGCTGGAGGTTTCACATGGCGGCTGTGAGAAAGAACTAGGTTTAGGGTTTTCCAATGCAACAGGAGGGTAAGGGCTCTCGGGTTAAATCCCGCTTCCATACAAAATTATAACAGAAGTGGCAGCATCGGTCCCTCCTATACACAATTTCTTCAAACATAGCCCATAAATTACCATTTAAACCTCCAACAATAAAATCCTTTACACCTTAGGTACAAAGTTTACGAAACAGCCCCCAATATCTTAATTATGCCATAATCAACCCTTCCACCTCATTTCCTTTTTAAATTAAATCCCAATAATTACCACGAAGCCCCTGTCTTCATGAATATTTATAAAATGAGTCCCGAACTCACACTTTTAACCCCCGACTTCTAAAAATGTGGCAATTGACTCCTCGAACCCAACACCCTGCATATATAATTATTTATTTTAGGCTACCATTCGTTCATTAATTTATTTATTTAACTAATAAATAAACGGGTGTTACAATTCTCCCCCACTTAAATTAGATTTCGTCCTCGAAATCACTCCTTACTATTTCTTATATGCCAAACCACTTCTAGTAGCATGATCACCGTCTTGGGCACACCCTAGCCTTCCCAGGGTAGCTGTGACCAATCTTCGCAAAGCCCTAATATCCTCATATGAACGAATTCCTCGCAACCAGATCACATCTAATCCGTCTGAAATCTGCTGTCTAGAGATGGTCTGAATCCCTGACAGACCACTCATACTGAATCATTATTGTTGAGTTCAGTCTGTTTATCCCTCAACAGGCTACTCAACTTCTGATAGCTCGAGGTTCCCACTATAAAATAGGATCACAGACCTAATTACCCCTGCTGGTCACTCAGCATAACCCAAACAATCTATTATTTCGTCAGTATTTGCAACCCAAAACATAAATACTAATACTGCCCAACACTGAACTGCCTGAAGCAGTATGCTGTCACATGGCTGCTTTCCAAAATCCACCGAGACCTACCTGGTCTCAATTTGTTCGCCAATCATCTGAAATATCGGGTTTCGGCCCGGCTGCGGGGCCAAAGGACTCCCACTTAGTCGCCTCACACGACTTTCGAACGAAATACTTCTCTGGAACTAGTTGCCACTAGCTATCATGCCACTGTGGCTCTAACAACCTCCCGATCCAACCGATCGAGTCCATGCGTCGAATCCTAACGTCACCACATCAAATGCTAAAAGTGTTTGCTACCCGACCAATGGTAGCCTATTGTCACAACGACCTTAAGCAGTCCATTGATTCCCTGATCTCATAACTGTAGTGACGTCCCTACGGTCTCATTACTGGCTTAACCAGATCTAATCCATTTGGGTAAATCCGAAATCCAATCCGTGGACTTCCATATCCTCAATGTTGCACCTAAACTGGTGCGTACTACTGTTCATTCCGTGCCCTAACAACGCGCTCATGCTATCTGCCAACCAAGTGAAGGTTGCGGCTACACTCACAGACTTACACCACTCAAGCACTATCTGCTAACCTTGTGAATGCTACAGCTACACTCGCAGACTTACAACACGCTAACACTATCTGATCGCTAATGAATGCTAACGCTACCCCTGCAGTCTTACAACACTTCCCATGCTAACTGACCACTAGTGAATGCTACGGCTACCCCCACAGTCTTACAACACTTCCCATGCTAACTGGCCACTAGTGAATGCTACGGCTACCCCCGCAGTCTTACAACATTTCCCATGCTATCTGACTACTAGTGAATGCTATGGCTACCCCCGTAGTCTTACAGCACTTCCCATACCGGTCGAGCACATACTCGACCTAACACACAACTGAACTCGAGTCCTAACTGGAGCTCTAACTTGGTTCCCGAAACCTGCTGTCTGAGAGTCTAATAACCCGCTAGACCCAGGAAACTCCGAATCTCGGTCGGAGACCTCGGAATCTCCCGCTGCATCAAGGCCTCTATCTTGGTCGGATCGACTAGAATACCCTTCTGGTTGACAAGGTGCCCAAGAGATTGCACCTCGCGCAACCAGAACTCACAGTTGGAGAACTTTATAAAAAGTCTCTCCTACACTTAGATTCAACTAAGTTTTTCCCAGTACATGGAGATTTGAGAATTCCCAATCCTTCTTACTTCCAACGATCGATCGGATGACAACCAGACTTTTCCAACTAGTACTCCTTTACTAGCCAACCCCAAATGATCACATGCTTCTAATAACTAGATGAACACTTGTAACATACACGTTTTGAGATCGTGTTTTATATAAATAATATTATGAAATATTATGTGATATTGATTATTGAGTTCTAACAGATAGTTTTTACTAGAAATAAGGTAAAACTATGTTTAGAATCACTCATAAATTATTGGAAGTCTTATGAGAATCCAATTAAAAGCTAAATACTGAAATTTAGCGAAAAATATAAAACTTGAAATAAGTAAAATTTTATTGTTGAAAGTTGTAGATAATCTCGTTAGAAACACGTAGGCAAAAACCTCGTCGAAATCCGAGTTATAACGAAGAAGTTATGACCAATCGAAGATCCGCGATAAAACCGGCACGGTGCCGAATGACGTAAAAAGTGAGATTTTGATAAACTACTTTTTAGCCTTAGTGATCTAAATGAAAGTCGTAGTATTCGTTAAACCGAGAAGTTCGATAAAAAGAACGCCAAAATCTGACTTCGTATGAGGAAGTTATGATTTTTACAAGTTTCAGCTTAGCAGTAGACAGCTAAAAACTCGAATTTTAAATCGAGTGATTTTTAGCCAACACGACCTAAAAGATAATCGAAGGTCTCGTCATTAGTAGTACACCGGTAAAAAGTCTGACGAAAACGGACGTCGGATGAAAAAGTTATGAATTTTTAACGGATTTACCAGTCCCGGTCTGTTAAAAATAATAATATAAAAATAAAATAAAAATTTTCCGACGAAGTCTAAACTAAAGTTGTAGAGCATAATTTTCTCTACGCGTGCATATAAAGAACATCAAAAACGGAGCTCGTATGAGAAAGTTATGGATTTTACAAGATTTGGCACAATTTTCGAGAAAAATCGCATGAATAGTGATTGCCACGTCACCCTCGCTCGGAGCTGGCCACGTGTCCGAAGCTGCTGAGTGGCAGGTCCGAGAAGCGACGCGTGTCGCACAGGTGCCCGAAGGAAGCCACGTGATCCTCGCATGCTCCCACGTGATCTGACCCTCGTGTAAGCTCCTGATTCGACCGAAGAGGAGGCCCAATCCGAAGCAGCCAGCTCTCCGGCCGAAGCTTCGCCCTGCTGCCGCGTGTTCCGAGCCTCGCACACATGCCCCCCTCTCCTCGCTTCGGATCCGAGGCTCGCACCTATATAAGGGGTGCGAGACCTCCCGGTTAAGAGTTTGAATTTTGGCCTTTTTCACCCCTTTTCAACATTTACTTTCATTCTAACTTCCCCCGAAGCCCCGGTACTTATTCCAAAGCCCGAAGCGCGCCCCGAGATTCCCGAGAAGCCCGAAAAAAATTTATCTTTTCGGTTTTGAAGTCCTACCTTTGCAAGGCCCGGTTTTCCAGAAAACTCCCGGTTTTCAACGACGAAAGTCATATTTAGAGCCGAAGTGCTGCCCGAATTACTATTTTGACCCCCGGTTATTTCTCGGTGAGTTTAATAAATAGGAACAATTTTATGTTATGTGTTATATGTGCTATGTGCTTTTCAGTGTTATTATTCCGGTTTATTTTCCCGTGTTAATTTTATTCTTTATGTTTAATAGCAAAGTAATACCTTTGACCATGTGATCAGTGAAAGGACTTAGATTCATATTGGTACTGGTACGTAGCCTCTGGCCATGTAGAACATGTCTCCGTAAGAGAATGATTTCTATTCTATGGTATTGGCAGATGGTTAGACAGGGCGTGAAAACCTGAAATCTACCAAAAGGTTAATCCGAAGTTGTATGTCTTCTGTGCCAATTGGGCCAAAGTTTTATTGATGTATATCAAGTATGGTAATTGTTATGTCTCATTGATTGTATATTTTTGAATCAAATCAATGATTGATATGGAAAGTTTGTCACATGATTCTCATATGCCTTTGTTCTTCCTTGATCCTCCTTGCCTCTGCCATAGTGAAGTATATATATATGGCATAACGTTATATTGTATCTATTATTGAACTCACTAAGCGTCACCGCTTACCCCTCTCAATGTTTAACTAAATTGCAGGAGATAAGCATCCAGTATAGTGATATACTGGTAGAAGATTTTTGAATAGTTTGAAACTATTGTTTTGATAGAAGATTTTCGAATAGTTTGAAACTATTGTATTTTGCACTCCCATATGTATAAAACTACAGTATCCTGGGGAGTTATGTAATATATAACACTATGAAATAGTGGGTTTGTATCCAGTAGTTTGTAACCACTTTATCAATATAAAATATTGTTTTATGAATATGCATGTAGCATGTTTTGGAATAACTATATTGTCAAGTATGAAAGTTTGGGTCTTTCAGAAATATGAAAGTATAGAAAGGGGTCCTTTCAATCATGGTATCAGAGAAGTGGTTTAAGTGAACTAAATTCCACGGATTGGTATTTAGACTTAAACTATTGGAAGTTCAATATATGAACTTAATCATTGTAAGTATAGGGATACAAACCATAGGAAATATATATATATAAAAAGTATTAGGTAATAGTAAACCCTAATATTCTAAAAATACAATATTACTCCCTATTGCAGAGCGATGGCTGAACAGGTTAGTAGCCATACCCCCGAGGTTGGTGGAGGTCCTCAACCTGAGGAAGTGAACACTCCAGTATCTCCTCGTGAGGAGCGACTCTTAGGTAAACTTACCGGCGTTATTCGACAGACTCTCGAAGAACACAAAAAGAGTGGTGATAAAGGAAAAGAGAAAGCCACTGGAGAATCTTCGAGAGGAGAGGTGAAGCGTCCCTCGTTCAAGGATTTCAAAAGTAGCGGTGCTACAGAATTTTCTGGTGTTCTTAATCCAATTGTTGTTCTTACTTGGATCCAGAACACAGATAAAGTGTTTCGTATTTCTCATGTGGATGATGAAGACAAGGCTAACTATACTTCTGCAATGCTCATCGGAGAAGTCTTGGTCTGGTGGGAAGCAACCTATGAAGCTCTCAGCAGGTTTGACCATGAGAATTTATCCTGGGAAATGTTCAAAAC